AATTATTAAAGCATTCGTTATGCCTATAACAGTCGCCAAAGAAGCTTACATCGAACCTCGTGGGTCAGTGATCTGTATTATAATCGTCTTTGACAACCATTTAGCTAGGATCGAAACCTACTTGGCTATTCGGAGGATGTCACAACTGGTGGTAATTAGTACTGCATGTATATATGAATGCAATGTCCCACCAACAAAGAAAAATCGAGTGGTACTGCAACCTATAAAAAGGACGCACAGACCGGCCACGACCAGAAGTACAAAGATCTAACTGGACTGGAAGCAGCCAATGAAGGAAGAGGCAACGTCTTCTAGCTATACATTTTCCTTTGGAGCCGATTGGGCGATAGGACAAAAGGAATACAATGGGTACTGTGACACTTCAAGCAGTGAATTCACCGTGGTTTGAAAGAAAAATAACAGACTCACGTCCAAATAGTGGCTGATGTAGACGCAAAGAGCATCCACAACAATGCACTGCAGGTTGGCGTGGGGTGTTGGAAGTTTGACTACATCCCTTAGCTTTTCGTAGTCGGACAGCAGTTCAGACTTGTCCGCGAGAGACTGCTGTATTTGCGAGACCTTAGTGGCAACGTCCTCCTTCTTAGCGGGTTTGTTGTTTTCGAGATCCAATAACTCAATAAAAAGTCGATTGAGGAAGGCGTGCGCCTCGTCGACAGTCCGTTTGGAAGAGTGCGCAAGATGTTCCGCAGTCATCCAGGCCGCTCTTCCAGCAGATTGCTAATAGTAATTTTAAAAAATATGAGTTCAAACCGACAAACAGCCGAAAAACGTAGCAAGCCGTACTTACGAGACTGTAGATGCTGGAAAGTACACCAACAAGCTCCAATTTTGTAAAAATGCTTCGGCTTGGAGTCTCGTCCAACTTCACGTCAGGCGATAGACGAGGAACGCAGGCATCGAGGTGTGCGAACATGGATTGAGCATTGAAAATTGTCGGCAGTCCGGCAAACACTTCTTCATCGGGGTTCTCGCTACCCGCAGTCTGATTAAGGACATCAAGTAGCTTGTCCTTCAGAGTGGGAACTAACTTACGAAGCTAAGTAGAATGAGTAATTCAAGAAAGACAAATAAACAAACGGTACCTGAGACGTGACGAGGTCGAATTCTTTAAAGAACAGAAAGAGCCGGTCTAGGGCCTCCATCGACTCACCCAAACAGACACAGTCAGACAGTGAGAGCAGAATGTAGAAAGGCCGTAGCAGTAGTTCTGTATATGGTGAGCTCCTAGCGTTACGAAAACGTAGGCAGCGATTCAGAGCATGTACGCAATATGACTTCAGAAATTGGGTATCAGTAATGTCTCTCTTGGGTTCGCAAGATAAAAAAGAAAACAGTCGGTTATCTCAGGCGCCCTTGTCTTCCGTCAATATTGAGATTGTCACAAGTCAGTATTTTGGGAAGTCACTTATTGATTTCAACTGCAACCACCTAATCAAACAAAGATGCAGTTGTGTGTTGTCAATCTAACAATGCGTCTAGGCACCACTTAAGTGAGCAAAGCTAATGTTACACAAACAAAGCATTCAATAGGAGGTAAGAAAAAAGGTGTATTTGGTAATCTTGTCAATTACTGTACACAAAAATGAGATGAGGACCCAGCTGTGATTGATTGAAAGTTCGGCGAGCACTCCCAAACATAAAGTACGTTCGAGGGCCATATTTTGCCTTCTAAATTAAATTGAGGTCGAGTCGTATACAGGTCATAGGCAGCAATTAGTCGTTAAGTCTAGGAACCGAGAGGGCATGTGGTACAGCCTGACAGACTACGGCAGTTAACAATATCTGGTGCAGTAACGGATTAAAAACTATGTTCGAAAAGATGGACGATTGTCACAGACTCGGAGAGTGAAACCTGTAGTACTGAGAGAAGCGAATTTACTAATTCACAGGCTGAAACTTAATACATCTAAGCATCAGCTTCAAATGCCATGAAGCAGACATCCTCAGCAAGTGTGGCAATTGCGTGAAAAGGGTACCACTGGGGTACTGCTTAAGCATTTTAAAATAAAACAATTGCCGCAACGACTATACCGACTCCCGTTTGGTACGTGAAAGGATGGCGGAGGGTAATAAGAGTTTAATCTCCAGACCACCACTGTTTATTAGCAATCTATGCTTATTAATTAACCTTTATCTACCGAGCTCTGGACACTATGTATAGCGCAGCTTGAGTCGGTGTGACTCGGGCGGACTTCTCATAGAGCATTTTGGGGTTTATAGCGAAAGACAAAAATATGAGTAGAGTTCCAAGACGAAGAATTAAATAAACACAGGAACCGTGAAGAATAAGAACATGAGTGGAGGGCAGACGATCCACGCTAGATTTTGAAATTTCGGAGACATTTAGGGGTTTCGTGACTATATACTACAGATAGACATAAAGATACTTTGTGGCGAGATAAATACTATTCTGATTTAGCAAGATAAACTCTCCGTAACTCGGAAAGCGATGATCCTGTGAAAGATGCACAGACCCCCCCCCCCCTCCTCATCCAAAAGTAGTCATGTCTTCTGGACAAGATCAGAAAATAAAAATTTCAATGTTTTACGTATGCGGAGAGTATTGGGATCATTCTACTGTGTCGCTGTAGAAGACATGCGATCGATCGCTCTCAAGGTAACTGTGGAAATGTCCTACGTGAAAATGGCACTATTTGCAGGCATTGTCTGCAAAACCGTTGATTGAGAAATCAGAAGAAACTGTCTCATTCCATGTCAATGACATACACCACGGAAAACAAAGTACTCGTAACGCGCCCGCACAATTTTACAGACCGGGAAGTCTGTAGTGTTTACTTTATCGTAGTTGTCAATTTAGGCAGCAATTAAACGTCAAAGTGGCAAAGATGCCTAACTCTCGTGATACAAAATCAACGGGAAGCACGGCTTGTTACTGTAAACGGTCATTACAGATTCGTAGCCGAGAACCTAGCCACGAATCGTGGAAAAAGTAGGACCAGCTGCCAAACTGAAAGACCCGGTCCCACGAGACTTTTCAGATTGTGGTGCATTTTAAAAAACGGTCAAGGAGAAAAGCTTCTGTATGGCATTTTCCCTCAGTAATTTATTGTAGCCTTTCTTAGAGCGTATACTGATTTTCAGAGCACGACTTAGGACTTAACTGATGCTCGCGCTCTGAAATAGAATGTACCCATGTAAGACTTAAGAGTTAAAGGACGCTGAATTTAGTGTGAACTGCTACGTCCGAAAACTTTGGTCCCTGTACATAATTTTATGAGCACGATCGTTCTCATTTATTCTATTTAGCAAATATTTATATGTTTCCTCTGAAGCAGCAGGCAATAGCTTGGAACAAACATGCAGGTATGATCTGGAATTTAAAACCAAACTTAGGTCTTATGTGGTCTAATGTTCTGCCACTTTATCAAAGCAACTCAGTACGAACAACGCTTTTGACTGGTGCGGATGGGTGTTGCGGGCAGCCGTTATGCCCAGCCTTGCATCGTTATCCAAGGCCTCGCTGCCTCAAGATGATTCACCCCGGCGGCGAGCCTTTCTAGACGCGCTGAGCTGCAGCCACTCGACCAAATTCAGCTTGGACAAACTTTCCCCCACACAGTCGAAGCTGCTCATGAGCTACTTGGACACATCTGCACCCATGTGACTACAACCTAAACCACTGGAACACCAACCCTCGGCAAATGCGGCTCACACTGATTGGAGCCCAATCGAGCTTAAGCCACGAATCTAAAAAAGCGTCTCCCGCCACTGTTCCAGGGACTCCAGGCATGATTGGTCGCAGTCAACACCAGTCCTGGCCTCGCCAGTGGCCACTGCCACCTGAGAAGGCAACTGTGTTTCCTCAATACAATAAACCCGTCAATTTGGTTAATGTTGTCTTCTCCTTACAACTTGCGATTTGACCTAATGCTTGTAGTACCCTTAGTACACATTATCCCCGCCTAGCCGCCACATAGTGAAGTTGATTAGTGCTTTATCTTCTACAAAGACCTGGTCGGCTGAGGGTATGCGCATAAACCGCTGATCTGCGCTAAGAAAGGAATCCCAAGACTAGGTTCACTGAAGAGAGACGGTTATATAATCAGTTGTTGTACTGCTTAAGGAGTCGATTTTCATGAAGCAAGGAACTATTTTAAGTGCAACAGTTAATGCTCAGATACCGTCCTCATCTGAAAAATCCAACTAAATAAGCTTAAGAGGATAGAGTTTTTATTCTGCCTCTACCACGTTAGGTAGCATCCAGCAAAAAAGGGGTATTTAGTCGCACCTGGAGTCGGGGTACATAAGGCTATATCCTTGCAACGTTTGTTCGACGACAACATTATAAACTTACATAACGGTCATTTCTGACGAAAGCTCTTCATCTCGAACACAACTACTTATTGACTTTTTAAATCGCAAAGCTACCACAGGGATCAGTCTCTGGATTATCCGAAAATCAACACGGATGGACTGGTAGAACTGATGTCTGTAGCCGTTGGGAATAAATATCTAAATTTGAAGCACGTTTTTTGTAGAACGAGACTGAGATTTCGACTCTGAAAATCAGGGAACGATTTTTCAAAATTACCCAAATTGTAAACTGAACAACCAGTGAGACCGTTCAACCGTCGTCTCCGACGACGTCAACCGTGGGCCCCATAGCAAGGTGGAGCAGTGACGGTGGCTTGCGAGTGAATTATTTTATAGTGATAGTAGACTTGTGCTGAATTCACCGTACTCTCTCCTGCCCCATTTGGACCCCGTGTTAAGACATTGTCAAGAAGGCTGGAAGCGGGGAGGGCGCAGGCGGATAGCACGGTCGAGCTCGCACCTTTGTGTTCCACGCCACACCCCCTGGTCCACACGGCAAATAACTAGGTCTTTTAACCAACAACAGCAATGGGGGATGGCACGGCCGAAATCGCACCTATGCGCGCCATCACACCCGCCTCGGAGCCCACAGAGTGGGAGTGCCATAAAAGCTGTATTAAGAAAAAACTCCGCTCCATACATCAGCGTCTCAGGATGACTACCGTGCACATCCTCAGCTTGGTGTTGAGATGGAGACCGTGACGGTTCCAGACGGTGTTCTGCAGACGGTCGAAGGCATGAGTGGCGTTGGAAATCCGGAGGGCCACTTCGTCGTCGACTTTGGTGTTAGGGGAGAGCATGCTGCCCGGGTATGTGAAGCTGTTCACAATTTGTAGCTGGGCGCCGTTCATGTTGATTTGGGGTACGACGTAGGCAACGTCGGGTGGCGGTTGATGTATGTGCACCATTTTCTCCGTGTTTATGACCAAGCGGAATTTGTCGCAGGTGGCGACAGAGAGATCCATGCTCCTTTGCATGTCCCCTTCCGACGTGGTGTTGAGGGCGCAGTCGTCCGTGGACGTTGATTGTGGATACACGCGACAGGAAGTGCATCCGCATGTGGTTGAGCAGGTGGACGCCGTCCTGTAGGCGATACGGACCCCGGGGCGTTCATCACGGTAGGCGTCCATCAGCATGGCAGAGAACATAAGACTGAGGAGGGCAGGCGTGAGAACGCAGCCATGCCTCATTCCGAAGGTCACTGCGAGTGCCTCTGAGACATCCCCATTGCCCATAACTCGCGCCATCATGCCATCATTGAGCTGACGCACCATCTGAGTGAATCGTTCTGGACAGCCAAATTTCTGCATTATTTTCCACAATCCGTCGCGATTCACCGTGTCGAAGGCTTTCGTCAGATCCACAAAGGCAGAGTACAAGTGGGTCTGCATCTCCTGGCACTTCTCCTGAAGTGACGAGCGACGAAGATCATGTCCGTGGTCCCCGATGACGGCTGAAGCCACATTTGCTTACCACCCTATTCCAGATGGTGGTTCAGGCATTTGAGAATAACGCGAGTGAAGATCTTCCCAGCTATGTTCAACAGGGAAATTCCTCTGTGGTTGTCGCAGATAAGGCGGCTCTCTTTGCACTCGTAGAGGTGGACGATTGTGGCGTCCTTGAAATCCTGCAGGACTTCTTCTCGACGCCACACCTTCTTGAAGAGCGCCGACAGAAAATCCGTGAGTCGGAGAGCACTGTGCTTGTAGATCTCAGCAGGGATCGCGTCCGATCCGGCGCCTCCCCGCTTGAGAACTGCTGCATGGCCCTGATGGTTTCGTGGAGAGAAGGCGGAAGATCGGGGACAACGCTGGTCTTCACTTGAAGCAGACGGGCGGTGGCGGCGTCGAAGATGGTGGAGGGTCGGTTGAGGACGCCTTTGGAGTGTTTGGCCCATTGCGGTAAGACTTGTGTCTTTTCGGTGAGTAGGGTGCTTCCGTTGGCGCTGAGAAGAGGAGCAGTTACTTTGGTTGGCGGACCATAGACCGCTTTGGTCGCGGAGAAGAAATTCTTCCATTCGTTGCGGTCCGCGTATCCTTGGATCTCCTCGGCCTTGCGAGCAGTCCAAGCGTCCTGCATCTCCTGCAGCCACCGTTGCACAAGTCGGCGACTACGGTAGAAAGCTGCTTTGTTGTCATCAGTGGGGCGGTTGACGTAGGCTTTGTGCTGGCGGTTCTTCTAGACGAGCAGATTTCTGATGGCAGCTTCGCTGTTGTTGAGCTAGTCCTGGTTTTGTCGACGTGCGCGACCAACGACAGTCAGGGCCGTCGACTGGACTGTGTCCGGCAGTTGGCACCGTCGGTTCTCAACGGGGGCTTTTTTGTCGGCGGTATCGGCGACATCGGTGGCGGCGACATACACATTAAGTTGCTTCGCCATACCCTCGATGCCGGTACGAACTAAAAACCCAGGCACCAAGTTAGCGAATTTCCGATGCTGAAAGAAACAGATGAGAGGGATCGAAGTTATCATTGGGTGTTCTCGCCGATGATATCATTTAGCACGCGATGAATGTTAAGCCATTTGCCTGTCATTTAAAATACAGCTAAAAGGATGAAGTGAGCAGTTCTGAGACATCGGTTTAAGCATTAGAGAGAAATATGGCTTTTAAGTTAATTTATAGCGATGGTGGCAGTGATTCTTTTTATAGACTTTACCTAGACTTCAGTTTTGTCAATTTATCTCTTTAAGATTTTGCGTGAACCCGCATTGACTTAAGTCTTCGATTCAAAAATCCAAGAGTAACCTGCGAGCCCGACTTCTGAGGCTCACGTAAATGACTCCAGAATTCCATTTGAGGGTGTGTTGGAAAAATTGGAGCAGAATATTTTTTTTCCTTTGCCATTAGCATCCCTCCAACCATCGAGAGAGCCTTACAGTAGTGGTCGACATGAAAATGAGCTGAGTCCCCTTAGTGTTAAGTGGCAATTTTTGGTGCATCCTGGGTTGTTTAAACTTTAGTGCTTAAAGACCCCCAGATTCACAAAACGTGTGATAACAAAGAAGGAAGGAAATGTATAAGGAATGTCCAAAGACAAGATGTCTAATGACGGGAGACCTTTCTTGATGAGTACTTGGTTTCGTTCACTAACTCAAAATAATTGCTGACCTACTTTGGCAAAAGCAAGTACGCACTCCTTAACCTTTATCATTTCGATGGAGGTCGTTATTTCCCAGTCCCACCGCCAAGACTGCGAACAGACGAGCTTTAGGTCTAGGTCGGGAAAACTGAGGGGAGTTGGCACAAATGGCCTGCTAATTTTCCTACTCGAAGAAAGCTGTCGACTTATCTCGACTTATCTGAAATGGTTTAGCGATAAGCTGTTATGTTAACATTCATCGTCGTGCCTTCAGAGAATACACACTGCGAGAAGGACTGGAAACAAGAAAGAATTTTTTTCTTGAACGTGGCGATGGAGCCGTTGACTGTTTCGCCTGCGCTCATTGTAACATTCACGCTCCCCTAAATCAAACCGTTCATTTTTTATCCTTTGTTTCGTCCCTCCTTTGCACTTCCCTGTGCAAGCAGCTGAAATTGCTTGTGTGGGTGGCGGATAATGTCTTGTTTATCTGCTTTTACCCCATTATCATACATGAGGTTAAGAGGCGGACGTTTTCAATTAGCCGTGCTTCGTTATTGCGTACACAGCCGCGCTAAAGAACTGAAATACTCCTAAACAACTCCATAAACGCTGCCACCTGGACGTAAAAGGTCGACCTGGCTTACTTGCAGACCACTGGTAACTTTGGGATACAGCATCGAATTTGTCGTTCCTTGATAATGTGATCCATTATTCGACAAGATCCTAAGTTTACGTGTACACTGTGTTAGCGAGTTCTGTACTGGACAGAACGCAGTCACACCCACCGGAATGCCCGAGTTCGCGCCTCCAACCTGGTTAGCTTTACCTTAACAATGTCTGTCAGTTTGTATCCCTATAAAAATGGCCGTGAATAATTAGCCTAGAAGTTCAAGGGCATGTTTCACTCAGCAAGCCTGACTGAACTTAGTTTGATGTTTGACGACCTGACTCGCTTCGGGTGGGCAACGCAAGAACCATATACTTTCTGAACGTCAGGACACCCCTCATCGAGATGGACAGGACACCCTATCACACGATGCATTGCGTCACATGGTCTGCGCGCTGCCACCCTGGACCACGTAAGCACCTCTGTAGCGGCAAGCCGAACCACTCGACCGAGTTTTCTGTGTGTCTCAATTTTATACTCCAGTTAAAACAACTCGCAAGCCCAAACGCGTCCACGGGATCACCGGAAGCGATGAGAACCACCAAATAACGCAGGCTTGTTATGTACAAATCTCACGCGCTCCTATGACGGTACAATGTCAAGACAACCGAGCAGATCCCAGGTGCGGTGACTGCCAAAACAAAACAGACATCCAACCCTGGTTCTTCATATTTGTCAGTCTACTTTCGGGACAGGGTACCTGGTTTCATGCAGATTAAATAGCCGCTGCTGTAACCTTAATGTCGGCCCTGAGTAGGTAGCCTTCTAAATTACGACCTTTAGACCACCGTTATAATTTTAGTGTGGCTTTGCTTGTTTATAGCAAGTAATTGCACATTAGATCAGAAATGGTCTGAGTTCACTCTTCCTTCCTATGAGTCAATCCCACCGAGAATGACAGTGGACACAGAGACCTACGTAGTTAGAAGTTGCGTCTATATTATGCTACATACGGGCTCAAATCTCGTAGGGGCGGTAATTGTCCTGAAGGTCACCTTAATAGGTCGTCACTGCAGTCTGACCCTCGATCATGAGGATGACCGGGAAAGCCCGCTGGTTGCCAGACTTCCGGGTCGCGATATCTTGCTTGCCTAATAGCTACTCACTTTAGATTTCTTATGATGAAAAGAGCGCTGGTATGCAACATAGGATTTCTGTGTATTTCTCCCTTTAAACTGCACGCATGAACACGTTGAGCACGATACCTGGAAACACCCGTTCGACTAACCGGGCTCTTCGGCCTCACATTTATACCGCGCTTAACGACAGCAACTCGTCAAAAGTGGGCCTTCTTAGGGCTTCTGAAGTCTCAAAGAACTTAGATTTAGTCGCGAACGGTTGCTGTCTATCGCTCTACCTCAAGTCCCAAAACGGTGACCCCGACGTGAACCAGGCTGACGACAGTCGAAAGGCAACACCCCGCATCTCTTCCCGCCCCGTTAAGCCTGCCCCCAGAGTGGAGTACGTGACTGTCAACGTGTTGTCGCAATCCCGGGTAGATGTGGACCCCCTTCATATGTCGATTAAAACCTAGGTGTTCAGCATGCTCAACCACGTTATGACGTCCTGACGATAGCAAAACTCCCTGCTAATTCAGACTTCACTGAGAGGGACACACCTATCTTTCAGCACAACGTACCAAAGCGCAGACGTATATTGACCAGAAGACCTAGCACACATTACAAGCAAGCTATCAGAACTGATGTACAAACCAGGCCCTATGTATGTACCGGTCGCACAGTTTCATTAGTCGATCTACTGTTCGCCCGTCTTAGGTTGGCGAGATCTACACGGTAACATTTGATCTCGCGGGCTTATCAATCGTTACCGACCTTGACCGGCTGGCGCAGACTGTTAACGAACAGCCGACCCACACCGTTTGCTGCCACTACGCTCAAATCCTTCTGTACAGCACCAATCCGCTCATAAGATGCCACTTATAAACTTCTATTAAACAAAACTAGACTTTCTGATTGTGGGAACCAGATTATGTCAGTTATCTTAACTACTGCAGCCTACATTTCTCTTTCCTGATTGGATTATTTAGGCCTGCGGATGGTTGCCCGAAATTTCTTCGATAGTACAATCGTTTAGACAGTCAGCAGCGCCGTCTTCACAATGACCAAGGGGAAGATATGAAAGCAATGTGCTACAGGTTACTGCTCAAACTGTGATACGTCATTCTCCAGGATATCTTCTCCGATTTCGTAACAATCAATACTGTGTAAAGGCCCGGGACTAGGTGGTCCTTTCAAACAAGAACATCACTTTTAATACGCGGCCGAATCGACTTTTTCTTGCTTCCAGCATTCAAAACAAAGTCAACGTTTTTAGAAGTGCAGAAACAAGTGTTCGGCAAAAATAATATAATTGAAACTAAAACAGTGAGATTTTACTGCACTCGGGAGTCACTTTAAAACGACGAGGGTAGCGTGAGTGAGGGTGCACAATTCTCTACATAGTAACCTCCAGTTCCGCGCAAATTTCGTATCCATTTCCGATGGACTTGCAGAGCTCGTTCAACTTCTTGCGATCATCTGAAAGGAGTCCAAACAGCACTGAGAGACATGACTCATATTTGAACAATAAACATGTCGTGTCGGGAAACAGGGCACGCAGAAGTTGTATTCACCTGTTGAATTTTGGTAGAGGGGCGCTCACCGGTCGTTCCTACGGAACTCCCTCAATTTGAGGACATGTTTCAGTGGCACCTTTCACCCAATCTTCGTGGTCACTCGATGGAGTTACGAACAACAATGTTCAGGCTAGATCTTCGTTCTGAATTTTTCACGCAGAGGGTAGTGGAGAAATGGAACGATCTCCCTCAGTCAGTCGTGGAGGCAACGTCTCTGCAACTCTTCATGAAACGCTTGGATGATTATTTGTGTCCCCTGTTTTCCCTCGACAGTCTGAATCTGAACTAAGACCCCACGTCCACACAACTATTTTCTCTGAAACAATGCTACTCAAATGAACCAAGTACTGTTTTAATAGCGAATTGTTTTATTGTCCGTGTACAGTTATTTCTAACGAGCTAACATGTAATCAATAGGGTTTTCAAAGGCTTTGCCAATTATCCTTACCAAAAGAACTGAAATCCAGTTGTGTCTTAGAGCTCTCTCTCGAGTCCAACCAGTAGCCGCACAGAGGCGCATGATATAAGCAGAATGATAATACCGACAAAGACAAGGGAGACTGGAATGGCCATTTCTGGCTTGTTAGACGTCGTCAGCCAATCATACCCAACCCCGAAGTGTGGAACACCCGAGGCTCGAATTCGCGACCTGTTAGTTAGAAGTCCACGCCTCTAACCACTGCGCCACGAGCCCGTTGCCCTGTCGGTTTTCGATCGGAAATATACAACGGTAGGGGCCGCTCACCGATCGTCCTTACGGAACTCACTCGTTCCGTTGTGCCTTACGGGCTCTCGCTCGAACCCACCCAGCAGCCGCACAACGGCGCATGAAATATAGGCAGTATGTTATTACCGACAAAGACAAGGGAGACTGGAATGGCTGACGACGACTACTAAGCCAGAAATAACCATTGCAGTCTCCCTCGTCTTTATCGGCAGTGCTATTCTACCTAGAATTTTGTGTGTATTTGTACGTGTCTTGTCAACGAGAAAACGGTTGGAGTGAAAATTAAAATACAGACAATAGCTTTGGGTTCGATGTGGGCTGACAAATTAAGTTGGAGAAAATCGCACGGTAATTCAGATGAACATCGAGGGCAGAGCTCGTTTAGCAGGCCGATGTGGATGCGACCAGATCTGCCTAAGTAGCAATAGGGCTCCCTCAGCATTGATTGAAAAACAAGTAATTTGGGGAATTAATACGTCAAGGATACTGCGTTCTGTAGGTATCACACAGTTACGCTATCAGGACAGCGCGCGCGAACCGGGCCACGCGGTAGAAGGGGTACGAACGGAGTTATTGGGAAAGCACACCCATAATAGATGTCAATATTCGAAGTATGGCAGCACGCCCACGTGCAGTCTCAGATCGCGCCGGTTTGGATCGGATCCGATGCTGATGAAGTCTGCCATCACTATAAAAGATTTCGTGCGTAAGTCACTGTCCCAATTCTCACCCTACTGTGAAGTACACAGTGGACATCGTTACTGACGACACTCGAACCGTCGCATGCGTTGTGTATGTGCCTCCAAACGGGCCACGCTAGGCCAGCATGGGGGCAGGCGTTATCGGATTTGCGCACCATAACAAATGCCAACATTTTGGTGTGCGGTCGCAGACCCGGTTGTCGGTAGACGTCGCGCACTCTGGAACCCCTGCCGCCCCGCCCCCATTATTGTTGCTGGTCAAAAACCTGGTCATCTGCTGTGTGGACCAGGGGGTGCGGAGTGGAGTCCCAAGGTGCAGGCTCGACCGTGCCAGCCACCTGCATCCTCACCTACTTCTGATCTTCTTAACTCTGTCTTGACACGGGGTTCAGATGGGGGAGGAGGAGAGAGTGCGGTAGATGCTGTGCAAGTCTTCATTCACCATAGAATAATTCACGCACAAGTCACCGTCCCTGCTCCTGCCCTGCTGTGGAGCACACGGTGGACATCGTCGAAACCGACAGTCAAACTATCGCATGAAATTATGCCGGAAAATTCAGATAAATTTAAGTAGTCAAAAAGGCACCTGAGCTTATTCCTTGTTGATGTTTAATGGGGGTTTAAAAGGAATTAAGACCTGAGTACCGGCACTAACCAAAAGCATAAACATGATCTTATCGTTTCGGCAGTCAGCCATGTCCCAAGTTCGTCTTTTACTTTGAAACCAGATTATACGGATGAAAGTTAATCCTACGTGAATTATATCGATCTCACTTTCCACATGACGTGAGTCTTTAGCTCTACTGTTGCCGATGATCATATGTAATTAAGATTGACTAACAATGGCAGATAAGCTAGCAACTGTCGGCTTAGGCCGAAAACCTCAAACTTCCGTGGGCGACTTGCGAACTGTTTACATTTGCCAACCTCGACAGTAAACAACCCTGTCATAGCTGCGTAGTGCGACCGCGGAAAATCGGCCTATATGATGCCAGGACGTTTGGTTTATGCCTGGGATGGAATGACGGCAAACGGGTTTTCAGTCTCGCGAAGTCTATCACTGCCTGGCGGATGTAATATGAAGGCTTGCGTTGAAATTCAGCGTCGAGCTGCTATGGTAACTTCCGACGGGATGAGGTCATGTGCGTTACGCTCCATTAAAAGATCTCAGATGCAACCTTAAAGATGGAATAAGCGCACTGTGGGAAGGGGATTCACCGATCAGGCTACAGAACCTTTCTGCCCATCGAGACTTGGGGTTCAAGCTGAAGCCATCGCAGGTTGTCTTACGATGACCAGTAGTATATGCAGGAACAATTTCGACCGGACACACGTGGTTCGCCGGTAGTGCCTCTGCATGACGCATTGCTCGAGAGGCTCGGCTCATCGGTGGGTCCCCCCGCGTTCTCTGTGTGCTTACTAATGAATACTCCAGTTTCGAACTATCAACTTTTAATCTCCCCATAAATTAATGCGCTAACTTGGAGTAATTCCATCGGAACGAACCTTCTTCAGCTGGGTATGAATAAATGATATAGGCAGAATGGTACCGACAACAACAACAACAACAAGTGTTCCGTAACATGATCAGTGAGCGCCCCTCTGCCACTGAATAAGTGAGCTAAAATGCAGCATATTCAGCGGAATAACCGCGTATTATTCACGAGCTACTAACAGGCAGTCAGTAGTATGTAACCGTTGTTTGATTCACCACTTAAACGTGCCGTGGGAAGGAGGTTCGCCGACCAGGTTACAGGATGTGCTCGTCCCGTTGAATCTTAGGTCCAAGCTAGAGTCAATGACTAGTAGTCTGCGTGGGAAAACTCTCGAGCACAAGCGACAGGACAACGGGCCCGCGGTCCAATGTTAGGGAATCAGTTCAAGGACCGGAGAATACGGGTTCGAACCCCAGGTCATCTATACCTGGAGTTGGATACGGTTGGCTGACGGTGGCTTATAGGTTAGAAATAGTCATCTCGGTTCCCATTGTTTTTGTCGATACTCATTTTATGACTTCAGATATACTTTACGAAGTCATTCCACCAAGAAACTCGAGGGTGTAGTTAAATACCTAGGGTGGAGCAGTACACTGGCGCCCCATCGACGATGTACTAACTCAGGACAGACAGCAATAGTCGGTCGAGAGTGTTTTGTGTAAAACAAACGAATAACTCCCCCAGAACCGTCTGATAAAAGCCCCTTTACTTGGAATCATGGCCAAGTAACACGAACGCTTAACCTACCTAGGTTTTAAGCATCTCGGTCCCAGCTGGACGACTGAGGAGCGGAATTTGAACGTCCGGATTTGCTCCGAACCTCCGAGAGCCTTCCCTATAACTCGCCTAGCTACGAGCACCAAAAACGGGGACAATTTTCGTGACCGTTCCTGCTTCATTCAGCATCAGTAGCTTGTATGCCCAAAAGTCCAGACAGGGAATATGGAGTTTGAACTAGGATGAAGCGCGTATTAAGTCTAGCGTTCTGTCTTTTAGCCGTGGCTACACGCTGAGTCGTGAGGCACGTGAGGAATATGTGTATTCCATTTTGTTTTGGGGCTCCCGGCAAACCCTTCGATTATTCTCATGCGGTTATTGACTGATCCGCCGGACTCCCAGGATGGGTACTAGCTAAAAGTCCAGACACGCGGGCTTCGCCGGTATTCTGCCGTTGCATGACATAGCTGCTAGGGGTTCGGCTCATCAGTGGGTTCCCCCTCAGCGTCCTCCATGTGCTTACTGTAAACTTTTTAGTCTTCAGGACAAACCTTTTCAGGCTCGGTCTGAATAAATTAACTAAAATGCAGTAGATTCAGTGAAATAACCGCGGGATATTCACTAGCTGCCAACAGGCAGTTAGTAGTATGCAATTGTTGATCAATTCACCAGACTTCCCGAAATGTTCGAAATCCGAACTAGGCTTTTTGGAACTCCGGTTTGGAGGTGGTGAGTGTTATAGGTGGGTCCTTACCACCTGGCAAAGGCTTACCCGAGGCGTTGAAGCGGTCATAAGCCTCCCAATTCGGCCATTGGTTGATTATAATCGCTCCGGGCGGTTCAACGCCGCGCCATTTGAGGGGCTCGTTCTGACTCACCACAAGCGGGACGCCGCCGTAGTGATGCACGATTTTTTCCATCTCAGGGAGCAGTTTCGTCTCAAAGACATCCTTGAAGCTGACATGTTGATTGAAGATGTGGATAATCGGATAGCCTGCAGGCCGAATCGTAAAACGGCAGCTTCGTTAATGACACTGGAAACGATATTGATCAGTGCAGGAATAATTTTTTGGGTAACGACAGTGGTGACAGTAATAATACCGCTATGGGTGATGCTGCTATTGGCAAAATTGAAGATGCTAGTAACAAAAATAATATAAATGACGAGGAGGTAGAAAAGAGCAGGATTACACTAGCAAATACGTTGAGACGGTGATGGTGGTGGTGGTGGTGGTGGTGGTGGTGGCGGTGGCGGTGGCGGCGGTGGCGGCGGCGGCGGCGGTGGTGGTAGCAGTGGTAATGGCGGCAATGAAGTCAAGTATTGGGCTGATACTTACTATTTCTACTAAGGTGACGAGGAGAATTCTTTTACTTTCATTCTGAGAAGTGAACGCAATCGCTGGAACAAGAAATTTATTCGCCTGTATACCCAGCGGGAGCTCAAGCGCATCTACCGGCAGGGAACCAGGTGTTAGGGAACTGCCAGCGCATAGCAGGCTGCTTGGACCATGGCTTGCTGATACTGGCATGGCAGACGCTTACAGACCTTTAGGCCTCTCAGTCTATTAACAGTGCAATGAACCGCTAACTTCATACTCCGCGCCAGAATAGTTTGACGGAGTATGTAAGCACACTGGAAGCGCGTAGCCTAACACTATTACCAGTGCCCCTGTCGATGAGCCAACATCCAACACGGGTTATGAAATTGCGACGATTAACAACTCGAATGCCGGTCACCAAACCATTATCGCACAAAAAGCAACCATATGTCATGAGTTGGTTGCCGTTACTCTTCATATGTATGCGGCAGCATAGCGACTGCATCGTATAAATACTGCAAACCCTTGGGTATTGGAGTACCCGTATAGGATGCCGCTTCTGACTACGGGTTTGAACACGGGTCCGAAACTTCACGTGAATAAAGTTCTTGTCTCAGTGGAATAGCAAGGACGGAATGAGTAAGGAGGTTTAATGAGGCTTATATGTACCCTCCTTTTTGTTTACCTTTGTGGCTCATCTCCTGTTTGGTCAAGGGCATCAAGTAGACTTCCACCTGCCCGAGAAAGTCGTGTTGCTTGAACGGATGGTCACTCTCCAGCCATCTGCGAGCCTCTTGGAAGGAGGCGAACTTCATTAGACCAACGCACTTTCGAGGATTCCAGTTGCCCTGAAAACTGGCGATCTGAAAAGGGGCGAGGGGATAAAACATGGAAGGTGCTTAACTGAAGTTTAAGCAGTTTAGTGAATAGGCAGTCTTCAGCACAGCAAAGAGAAAATGGAGGCTGGGGTGGTCATTCCTTACTTATTTGTCGTCGCCAGCCTAAAAAACCCAACTCTAGGTTTGCATGGCCTGGGATTCGATCTCCTATTCCTCAGTAATTGAACGTTCTTATGTTCAACACAATACTACTGAGCCATGGGCTCGTTAACCTGTCTGTTGCGATCAGGAATATCCCCCATCGTCGGAAGTGCGCTTATCAAGCGAGTATTTTAGTCAGCTTATAAGGATTGCTGTATTCATCCAGGTTCCCCGAGAAGAAACTTCGGTAGGAGTCGGTTACACTGACTTGGTCCCATGTGCAAGTGAAGTAAGTCGAATGTTCCATTCATTTCTTCTAATCAGCCTGTTTTCGTCGGCCCCGTTTTCTACTAGTATGTTATACCTGCTGGCATTTTGCAGAACGCGATCTTTGCTGTGACATTATTAATCAGCTTTTTTGTCCATTTGCACGCCGACGTGCATTCCTCCCCCTCTCTCCTCCTCCCCATCCTCCTCATCCTCCCTCCTACTCCTCCTCCTCCTCATCCCCCGTCCTCTTCTTCTTCCTCCCCCTCCTCCCGCCTCCCTCCCCCTCCCACTCCCTCCCGCGTAGACTCCTCTACGGAGTGCGATAGGGATCCGTTACGCTGTCCTGGTCTCAAGTGTAGAGCAGTGTGGGCATCGCAAGCAAAGTAAGCCGAAGGAGGATGCTGAAATCGTTAGTGGGAAAGTAGCCAAAGCTAAAAAGGAAAAGGGCAACCTGATGGCTAATTTTAGAGGTAGGGTTAGTTTTTGGGTTTGGGTTAGTGTCTGGCTGATAATTGAGTTTAGGTTTAGGGCTTGTGTTAAGTTTAAGGTTTCTGATTAGATTTAGGGTTTGGATTGCGGTTTGTGTTTACGTTTAGTGTTGAGGTTGGTGTTAGGGTTGAGATATGGTTTCGGTTAAGGCTAGGGTTAGGCTTTAGGTTACGGCTAAGGTTAGGGTTACAGTTAGGACAGTGTACTGTATTAACTGTGTACAGTACTGTGCACTGTACAGTGTGTTCGTATTTCCCCCCTCCCTCCCTCCCTCCTCCTCCTCCTCCTCCTCCTCCTCCTCCCTTCCTCCCTCCTCCCCCTTCCTCCTCCTCCTCCTCCTCTTCCTCCGCCCTCCTCCTCCTGCCTCCCCTCTACCTCCCTCCCTCCCACGTAGACCCCTCTACGGAGTGCGCATTGAGGACAAGATGCGGGCTTCGGGCTTCATAAGGATCCACTCGGAAGGGGCTACTGCAGACGGGCCCTTGTTTGAACGGAGGTCTGAGTTGTCCCATCAGGTTATGGAGGTTTATCAAAGTAAGGAATGTGCTGATTTACCATGGCAATGGACTCCTTTGTGCTGGTCTCACTCCATCTTCCTTCTCCTATTCACCAGCGAGCTGCTTTAGGCTGTCGACCAATTGCCCGGTAAGATTGAACGCGGTGGCTAGCGGGTTGTGCGTCTCAATCTAACGCGCATTACGCGCGTGCATGGCAGACTCAGCCAGTGTGACGCTCGTCTTGGTTTGACGCAAGCAACGCACATCTTGCAGGCCAAGCCGACTGGTCAGCCGGCCGTATAACCTAGGTTCCACTCTTTTCTTCTAATCAGTCTGTTTTTGTCGGCCCCGTTCTCTATTAGTATGCTATACCTTCACAACGGGTCTGCCGGCATTTTTGTAGAACGCGATCTTTGCTCTGACATTTTAATCAGCTTTTTGTCCATTTGCACGCCCACGTGCATTCTTCCTCCTCCCCCTCTCCCCCTCCCTCCTCCTCCTCCACCCCCTGTCTTCCTCTTCCTCCTCCCTCTGCCTCTTCTTCTTCTTCTTCTTCTCC